TAACAAGTGTTTCAGCCGGTGGTCATCAATGCTTATCAAAATAAGACCCAGACAGAGGTGTTCTGTCAGTTGTCTGCTTTTATAAAAACCCCTGTATCTGCCCTGCTCTGATTCTTGCTTAGTAATGGATGTGTCCCAGAAAAGACGAAAAGTTCTTCAAACTGTGGTAGTACAAAATCACCACAGCATTCCTTCAGTCATAAACTTAGTCTCAGATTCCATCCCCAAGTCAGACTCACCAGCCACTGGGAATTGCCTATCCCTCAGTAAGAGAAAATTCCTTATTGCATATAAAACAGTGAGAAGGGAAGGAATGCATGAAGGACAGGACTTGGGACACGTTTAACATGGAAAGAGTCACATCCAGCAGGTTGGTAAAACTTGTCATAAACACGAGACGACCAGCTGCCTGCCTGCTCTCCGGCTGGGGTTTGCATTTGTTTGCTTGTATTCTGTTTTGTTTTCCCTAGGCACACTTCATTCAACCTGTCCAACAGACACATTTCCTATTTAGGAGAATGGTTTTCACAGCTTCCATGTGCAGAACACAATGAAAAACACTTCCCACGCCTGCAGCCCACACGTACCGTTTCTTTTAATGGCCTTTTACGAAAGTCATCGGAACTCTGCAGTTCGCCACCTTAGTAGTCTGTCTTTAAATCTGGGACTGGTCTTGCATCCCCTACTTACTATCCTCGATGCCATAGTCCACTTATCCCCAGGACTGAGTTCACTCAAGGGTAACTTCCGACAGTCTGTGGATTTTTCTTTTAAAATGGCCTTCATACCCTGACTCCTCCCCGCCTCCATGCTGCCGATCCTAGGATCCTAGTGTGGTCCGTTCTGGGTGCTGGGGATGGACCCGGGCGTGACCATGCTCAGCACCAGTCCACCTCAGTTCCTCCCAGCCCCCATCCTGTATGGGACCATTTCTTCTGAACTCAAACTTGCAGATCTGAAACTGCAAAGCGCAATTGACTCTGAAGTGTTGATTTCGGTTCCTCTCCACTCCAATGACAAGGCGAGGCCAACTTTTCCTGTTTCTTACAGAGAGCTGGCAAACATTCCCAAATTCCGCAGGAACAATTCTATATAGCCTTGTCTGATTTTTCAGGAAAATATGAAAAATCAAAAATCAGCTTTGCTACAATCTACATTTTAAGAAGGAGGTTAGAAACAACTATTTGAAAACCGTACCACATATCCACTATGCTGCAAATTCACCAGATTTCAATTGAGTTTTGGGGAGGAATTCTTTATTGGCAAATCATTTAAAATACAGACTTTCATTGATACCGATTCTGGAATTCCATGAACTGTTCGTCATTTGGAAACAAAGGAATATGGAAGTGAAGCTACAGAGGACAATTTCTACTGTGAACCACAGTGAGACTCCAAAGTGCACCTTTCTGCACGGAGCTGTTGTCTGCACTGGGCCGATGCCACCTATGCATACCGCGTGTCGTCTACTGTACTTACTGGACTTTTCCCTTTTCATATCACTGGAAAAATAAAGAAATAAAAAGCCTTGGCTTATCCATATGCTCAAACACGGCCTGGAACCACTGCCTTGAGGTGCACAAGAACAAGAAGGGGGCTGGATGTCTCTCTGACTGCCACATGACTTGGGCAAACAGAAACCAGTGAGCAGTTCGGGGCCAGATCCCAACTGTGCAAGCTCCCGTCAATAATTTACAAGTACCTTTGGGGTTAGCCAGGGCTCTAAAATTCTGGAAACCAGCACACGTGCGTGTACACACACACACACACACACACACACACACACACACACACACACACACACACACACACCACGGTACCCATTTGAAGTCGGAGGACAATCTGTGGGAGTCAGGGCTCTCCTTCCACTATGAGACTGCTACAGAAGGAGCTCAGGCTGGCAGGATGATCCACAGTGACACCTCTATCTGCTGAGCCATCTGACCAGCCCACACATGCATTTTTAAGATTGTAGGAAGGGGAAGAGAGTGGATGAGGCAACCGGTCTGACCTGAAATGAATTCCAATGAATTTCAAACACACACACGTCTTCCCAGAGGGCCAAGACACTTGTGTTCTGGAGGCTGCCCAAACTGCCCCTGGAAGAAACAAACTTGGCCACTGAGCCACTAAGTGCCACATTTGTGCTCACTGTGGATGTCAGGGTCAACAAGGGCCAAATCAAACAGACTAAAGCAGCTTAACACTGATGTGACCAAAGTCAGATCAGTGGAGAGAGATATATTCAATTGGCTCCTGATTATGACACTCCTCCAGATATTACCAAAGGGGAAAAAAAAGGGGGGGGGGAGGGATCAGCTAAAAAGGGGAGGGGGGAAGGGATCAGCTGAGTCCAGCTAGATAGTCCTAAATACATTTACGTTTTTAACCATGAAAGTCATCACTGCACAAAACTCAAAGACAAAAGATAGACCTTCAAACCTTTCAGCACTAGGAATGAAAATCTAAGTTAAAATACAGGGGGGAAATACAGGTCGCAAAGTGTTCTACTGTATTTAAAGCAGTAGTAAAAACTATTAAAATCATATCAAAACAGCAAATTTATCATAAGTTTGAAAAGCACTGGCAGTTTTTTGTTTGTTTGTTTTTGCAATTTCAAAAGAAATTGGCATGATACAAGTTATTATTATTTATTTATTCGGGTTTTTCAAGACAGGGTTTCTCTGTGTAGTTTTGGTGCCTGTTCTGGATCTCTCTCTGTAGGCCAGGCTGGCCTCGAACTCACAGAGATCCGCCTACCTCTGCCTTCCTCGTGCTGGGATTAAAGGCGTCGGCGGCACCGCTGCTGCTGCTGCGGCTGCTGCTGCCACCGCTGCCGCTGCCACACCACTCCGCCACAAGTTATTGTTATTTTATGTGGATGGCCACCCCAAGTAACAACTTAGGGATTTGGAATCGTAGAACAAATATATAGAAGACAGAGGTGCTAATGCTGCAGTTTAGAACCTCCAGGGAAGACTTTTTAAAGCAATTCGAGCCTACCCTACAGCTTAGCAGAGGAGGGGGACTCAGAAAGCCACAGCCCAATATGGCTTGACTCCAGAAGCTTAGCTCCAACTATTCCCCGACAGCTCAACTCTTCTTTCTTGAGAAGCAGCAGATAAGAACACAGAAGAAGCCGGGCGGTGGTGGTGCACGCCCTTAAGCCCAGCACCCAATCGGAAGGCAGAGGCAGGCGGATCTCTGTGAGTTCAAGGCCAGCCTGGGCTACAGAGTGAGTTCCAGGAAAGGCGCAAAGCTACACAGAGAAACCCTGTCTCAAAAAACCAAACAAACAAACAAAAACAAAAGAAAGTGACATCCTCACAGCTGTCTAACGTTCCCCACTATTCACTACCTGTTGCTCTGTGAACAGGTTCCTTCCACTGAGCAGACAGCATGTTAGGCACACTTGTCAAATGTCCACTCCTACTCTCCAGTGAGCTTTTTATCCTGTAGTAGGAGACTTACCATTTTATTAAGTTGTACTAAGACGAAGATTTTTGCATGACAGAAACTATATGCTAGTTGGGTGTGGTAGAACACTCCAGTTGAGCCTAGCCTGGGCCATACAGTAAGACCTGTCTAAAATTGTATCTTGTTTTCTTTTAGCTATACACACACACACACACACACACACACACACACACACACACACACACATATATATAAAACATTTTATACAGGATAATATATATGTAATATATATAACAGTTTATACAAGATAAACATTTCGTGAAGCCTGATGATTTTGAGAAATTTTATTTTTTTGTAAAGATTTTATTGTTTTATTTTATGTGGGCCTGGGGGTATTTATGTGCACCATGTTCATATGGCGGCCAGAAGGATGCAGAAGAGGATGTTGGGTCCTCTGGAACTGGAGTTAAGAGACAGTTAGTTGTAAGCCATTATGTGGGTGCTGGAAACCAAACCCAGGTCCTCTGCAAGAGCAGCCAGTACTATTAAGCACTGAGTCTTCACTCCAGCCCAAGAAATTGTCAATTAAAATTCCTAAGTCAATTTAGAAACTTACTTTCTATATTAATCACAGGAACTGGAGCTTCACCTTCCACTTTCAACAGATTGTGGGATGAAATGCAGTTTTCAAACAGTTCGCATTTCTTTTCTTCCTTTTGTCTTTTTTTGATACACAGTAAAATCTTACACAGTGTTTCAATTAAGTTCTACTACTAGAGAAATTACTTTTTCCAAAGTAGATAAAGGGGCTGGTGAGATGGCTCAGTGGTTAAGAGCACTGGCTGCTCTTCCAAAGGACCCGGGTTTAATTCCCAACACCAGCACAGTGACTCACCGGTCACAATCACCTGTAATCGCAGTTCCAGAGGATCTGATGTCCTCCTCTGGCCTTCATGGGCACCGGGAATGTAAGAAGTCCTCAGACACACATGCGGGCAAAACACCCTTACATATGAATCAATCATCAATCAAGAAACGAAGTATACGAAGTAACCAGAAAGAATGTAAGTAGAACAGGTCCAACTGTACCTACCCCTTATAAACTCACTACGAAAGTTGGTTGGTCACGACACATCCTTCTCATGAAAGGCATTAGTCAGAGCAAAACTGGCTTCTCCCTTGGCACCCAGCCTCAGCACGCACATACCTGGCCAGCCACCGAGTGGAACTCCAGTCCTTGTCCCTTCCTTTGTGTGCTCTGGTGCTCAGAGCTTTAACTCTGACCTTCCAAGTGCAAGCAGTATCACCCAGGGTTCCAGACAAGGCCACAACCATTTCCTTAGAAGGTGGCTTCAGCAGAGGCAAGAAAAACTTAAGGTAAGATGGTAACAGAGCCCTAACAGGCAATAGGATACCTGCGCCTACATCTCTTCTACAGAGGAAAGGACTTGTTTCTACAAACCAACAACCACATTTCTCCTACGCAAAGCATCCTTGCAAACACAATTCAAATCAATGCAACTTCTCAGAGGCCAACTGAAGTTAGTTATTTCCCGGACGGAAACAGAACTAAACTTTCAAACCTGTGGTCGTGCACTGCGGGACTCGGGTCCCTTCCTCCTCTGGCACATTTTGGAATCTTTGCACATACGAGTGTCTTGAAAATCCTCCCGGCACCAGAAGTGGCATCAATCACACATCTGGCTGACTCCTGCTGGCCCGCTGGCCAGTTTGTAGCTTTTGCTGTACCACCGCACATCTCCCAAGAGGCATAGATGCTCTTCAGTGGATCCTGACCATCAGTGTGGACTAGAGCACTCCTGAAGTTCCTTCCTCATCCGAGGGATAGTCTGCAACAGCTCCGGTGTAAAGATCATTTCACTCCCTACACAGCACGTGAGACAAGATACTACTAACTTCCTCTTTTAGAAGCTTAAAAAAAAAAAGTTCATTCATTATGTAAAATGAAGTCCAGGACGACTTCTAGAAGCAGAGGTATCCACTCCATTGTAAGATCTGCTCTCAGTAAACGGGTAGTAAAACCGACAAGCACAGCTCTCTCCCCACCTTTCCTAAGCCTATACTCTAGTGTTCACAACAGGCCCTGCAGCTTGCACTGACTCACACTATCTGCATCCCGAGCTGAGCGTATGCAGCCCTCCCTCTGCTAGTCACGAGAGCCCAGCTCATGTGGCTCTGGGCAAACCTTCAGCTGCAAGGTTGCTCTGACATTGGCCACCGCCACTCCCTTAATGGTTCTCATGTGAGTAAGTATCAGCTGACAGTCCCTGCTCCACAACCTTGCGAAACTAGCCATCGACAGTGAAGGGTGGCTACCCGCGACGGCCGGAATGTAGAACTTGATATATGGAAGGAGACTTGAGTGGGACGGGAAGCAGAGCAGGGCATGCTCTTGCCATCATATGAGTGGGGGTGGGGTGGGGGGGTAATGATAACAAGAGACCACTTATAAGAAAAATCCTCCTCATTTGCACTTAATTCCTGGGCACAGTCAAGCCGAGAAAGTCTCAATTACCAGAACACCACAACAGTTCTGGCTTCTGACATCAACATTGCTCACCTGGGTATGAGAATGTTAGGAGATAAATTTGAGTCTGTGGTCCAAGGGAGAAAATGTTCTCCTTTCAGGATAAAATCCACAGGTCCCCCAAACCCAGATCAAGTCTAGAGAAGAAAGCAACTACACAGGTGACATAAATTCCTTTTTCCTGGAAACTGGCTGAAGAAAATACCACTGGCTCTGTCCCTAAGATCTGGCGAACCCTTGGATGGCTCTGTGGTCACAGTCTTAAAATGTATCTTGATACAAGCAGTCACATTTCACTCCACTGATGCAAGAAAACTAATGCCGGGCATAGGCCTCGGTTGCCTTAAAACGCTTCACAGGTTGCACGAGACAGGAAGCTCTCCTACAAAGATTCCCCCCAAGCAATCCAGATTGCAACACACAGGGAAGACAACGTGTCTTCTCTGTGGCCATTGCTTAAACTGATGGTATCAAGATAGGCCCAGATTAGGAGAAAATGAATTCATTTTTCCAGGAAGGGGCTTAAGCTTTACCTCAGGGCCACAATCTGGTCATGGGTTCTTTTTTCCTTCAAACTATCTAAAATAACGTTCTCTTTTCAACAGAGAATATCCAAATATTATGAAGCGAGTTCCAGTTCAGGGGACAGAGCATCTTGGGGGCGCAAATGGTCTACTAAATACCAAGTCCGTGTCTCCCAGACATCTGATCTTTAGACTAAACTTACCGGGAAATGAGAAGGCAGGCACAAGACTGATAGGAAAATACTTTCCCCCAAAAAAGGGCACAAATCCTGATTTGTAGAAGCAGAAGTGCTAGGGGAATACACCTCACTTTTTTTTTTCATAAAAGATTTTGGGGGGTTATCTGGTAGAGTACTTGTCTAGCATGCCTGAGGCCTGACATTTAATATCCAGCAGCACATCAATTGGGAAGGAAAACCACATCAAATCTCAGCACTGGGTAAGTAGAGGAGTCTGAGACCAACCCTAAGATACGTGAGACCCTATCTTAAAGGAAAAAAAAAAGGCTTAAAACTTCATTATCACAGCTGGCGGTGGTGGCGCACACCTTTAATCATGGCACTCAGGAGGCAGAGGCAGGTGGATCTCTGTGAGTTCGAGGCCAGCCTGGGCTATACAGTGAGTTCCAGGACAGGTAGAATTACACTGAGAAACTGGGGCAAAACGCACGCACGCACACACGCACACACCTTCAGTCTCTATCAGATATTTACCTAGGATCTAAGGAAAGATCATAAAAAGAACCCAGGGTCTCTACACATGCTAAGCAAGTATTCTACCAGAATTATACCCACAGCTCTGTCATGAAATTCTCAGTATCTATTATACACATAACTTAGTAGTTTAGCCACAAAAGTGATTCTTTTCAAAGTAATTCCAGAGAACGTCATAGATATGCATATTTTACCCCTTACCCAAGTAGTATATATAATAATTTAAAACAAGAATAACAGATAAGCCAGGCGGTGGTGGCGCACGCCTTTAATCCCAGCACTCGGGAGGCAGAGCCAGGCGGATCTCTGTGAGTTTGAGGCCAGCCTGGGCTACCAAGTGAGTTCCAGGAAAGGCGCAAAGCTACACAGAGAAACCCTGTCTCGAAAAACCAAAAAAAAAAAAAAAAAGAATAACAGATAAAGATAGGCTTACAAATGACATGTGGATGAAATAAGGGTCTGACTGCATTTGGACGAGATTCTCTTAAACAGAAACTAACACGAGGAAGGAACCGCACACCTGAGAATCACTTCCTTAAATAGAAATGGTACCTTCCCCAGGGGAATCTTCCTGATTCTTTGTTCTCTGAGTTCTTCTATAATAACTTTAAGCACACTTTTAATGCCTACTGCATGCTTATTTTCCTATAATACATGTGTGTAAGGATGCTAAATAGATCATAAACTCTTAGCATATTAAAAAGTAGGTCTTGTTATTCTTTGGACCACAGGGAAAATTTTTATTTTTTACAAGTGGATGCCCTGTAGACGCTTCTGATTGGCTTCATAAGCACTCCATATTTGCATTAAAGCTCTGACACAAATCCACCTGCAGCAGTCTATTTCTGTGGCAGTCTGATGTCAAGTCCCAGGAGATGGGGGCTTCAGTACTACAATGTACATATATCCTCCCCCTACTACAGCCAAGTTCCCGCAGAGGCTTTGAGATCTTGTGGTCATTCCAATCAATGTGACTCACATCATGTATTATGAGAAAGGACATCGAAACTTGCAAAAATGTGAAAGTGACATTTCCTCTGTTACAATGTTCCTTAATCTTTAATTCTACAGTCCAAAATCTGATAAAGCATGATATAATATAAAGTAAGTAATATACAAAACCACACTGTCATACTTACATCGGAAGCCTCTTTTCTACCCCAAATTGCCTTACAATTAAATAAGAATCTTCAAATTCCTGCAGTAAATGGAAAACAACTGTATCACTACAACCGTTTTCCTGAGACATGAGAGCGCTCGCAGGGTAGACAGAGCTAAGAAAAGGTATATTGAGATCTTCTGAGCCCTACGCTGCTGTTTGTAAAATCACCTTTCTCCTGAAATGGAGTCATCCACTTACGCGGGTACTCACGCTGTGGCACATGGCCGTGCTGGGTAGCCTATTCTGAAACACTAAAAACACGCATATTATTACAATTATCGTCAACTCCACCTGTAGCCCTACTCCCGGTGGACTTCTCTACCTTCCTCACGAAGCTCATCTACACACTAGAAACAGACAGTCATCTAGAGCTCCACTTTAGGAATTCGTCTGCAGTCACTGAACAGACCCACAGCCCAGTTCCAGCTCAGTACCCTGCCCAGGGCCTCTGCCGCCACCACTGGCCAGGCCCTAGCACAGCAAACTTCGGGAGATGTTAGGAGCAGGGCCAGAGAGGACGGAGGTGCGTACCAAGAAGCGCACCACAACACCTAAAAGAAATGGACTACAGGTTCAAGTTTTGGGTGGGAGGTTTGAAACCAGGACCTCACAAATGCTAGACGAGCATTCTACCCCTGAACACAGTCCCAGCCTCTCAGTTGTTTAAGCTGCTGTTTTACTGTTTCCGCTCACAAACCCTAGGCACTGAAATGGTCCTTCAAGAGCTGCAAGTTTCTATCAATGAACAGCAAGCAACATTGCTACCACTTAGATGGCAAATGTACTTCGTGGGCCTGCCCAGTCCACCGCCTGTGGTAAGAACCTCTAATCGCCCACAACGCCGTTTCCTGTTGTGATGCAGACTCCTCTCCCAAACCACTCAGTACACTGCTACAGGGTCACCTCCACTCTAAGACTAAACAGCAGAGGAAGGTGAGTTTCCCTCGCCAGCTGTAGAGTTAGGAGAATTAAAGGCAGAAAAGTTGCAAGTTAAGTACTGGTGCATTTGGGGGGCTCTTGAACCTTACACTGTTTAAGGAGAAGCAGTGCTCACAGAACATCATGAAAACCCAACTCAAAAGCCACAATGAAGAAATGCGTTAGAAAAGAGAAAAGGGGCTGGAGAGATGGCTCAGGGGCTAAGAGTACTTGCTGTTCTTGCAGAGGACCCAAGTTCAATTCCCAGCACCCACATAATGGCTCACGGCCCTCTGTAACTCCAGTGCCAGGGGCTTTGACACCCTCTTCTGAAAGGCACACATGTGGTATGCAGACAAAAACCCATACAGATGAGTTAAAATAAACATTTAAAAAGAAGAAGAAAAACTAAAACCTGGCTCAGCCCCTGCCAAGTATTCATATCTAATAAATCTATTTAAACAGTCCTTTGCCAATTCACATCATCTTCATGAGAAACCAACAAACAAAGCCACAGGACACAGTGTTATTTATTCTATCATTCTATCATTCTATCATTCTATCATTCTATCATTCCCTCTCTTCTAGGGACGCCTTTTCCATCCCCTGAGCAACTGATGGCAGAGCCGTGAGATTTCAAAATATGGTGTCCAAAGCAGACACCAAGGCATTAAAAGGTGCTCTGTCCCCATCTCAGTATCGGAGATGTGAGCACTGAGCAAGGAAAACGCAAAGTAGTTGTCTATGTATTATAATTCAGAATGAAGTGTATTGAGATCTTAAAAAGGAATGTCGGGTGTGGCCGCACACATCTACAATTCCAGCATTTGAGAGGCGAGGGGCAGGAAGGTCAGAAAGTCAAGGCCGTGGGCTGTAGATGGCTCGGTCAGTAAGTGCTTGTTGAGCTCCACCCTTAGCGCCCTCCTAAGCGCCAGGCACTGCAGGCATGCCTGGGGTCTCAACACTGAGCAAATAGACAGGCCGGTCCCCGCGCCTTGCTGGCCAGCCAGTCTAGTGAATAAGGAAACTGTGTTCAGCGGCAGACACTTACCTCAGAAAATATGGTGCAAAGTGATTGAGAAAGACATCTGAAGCTGAACTCTGGCCTCAGAATGCACGTGCGTGTGCACGCGTGCACACACACAGTTCAAGGTCATCCTTGGCTACATAGCAAGTACGTATGAGGCTAGAGGTATCATACTTGAGTTACATTAGACTCTGTCTCTAGAACAAAACCCAACACTCAAGGCCCAGGCCTGTAATCCCAGCTCTCCAGAGTGAGAACAGGAGGAGGGTCAAAAGTTCAAGGTCATTCTCAGTTACATATGAAGTCTGAGGCCAGCATGGGCCAGAGAGAGAC